AGGAGGAGGAGGAGGAAGAGACCTTTTCAAATGGCCTCAAAGACCCTCTAAACGGTGTTTCTCAACCGTGACAATTTTAAGGCATGTGGACTTCAACTCCCAGAATTCCACAGCCAGCAATGCTGGCTGTGGAATTCTGGGAGTTGAAGTCCACATGCCTTAAAATTGTCAAGGTTGAGAAACACTGCTCTAAAAGAAGACAAATGACCAGCCGTCTGCAAGGAGGATAAATCCTCCCATTTCCCATCATTCAATCAGAACCTGAAGAAGCTCCTGGGATGAGAAGCGAAATGCCTTCAAAGGAAAAATGAGAAAGTCCAGTTGCCTCCTGAAAAAGCATCTTTGGGTCCTCCCTGATGATCCCTGAGGGTCCCCCCAGCCCGAAACCTCCCCGATGCAGAGCCCCCCTCCGCGTACCTTCTACCGCCGCCTCCCTCCTCTCCCGCTCCTCCTCCTCGGCTCTTTCCTGCAGCTTCTTCTTGTAGGCCGAGGTGACGAAGGCCTCCTTGTCCTGGAAGGCGTCTCCTTCCGACTCCCGCTCCTTCTGGATCTTCTTCTCCATCCGCCGCTCCTGCTCCTTCTTCCGCAGCTCGGCCGCCTGCAGGATGTTCTGGATGTATTTGGGCTGCCGGGAGGAGACAGGAAGGCGCGGGACGTTAGCTTATCATGATGTAAGCTTATTTCGTAATTTTTAACGAGTAAACGAAGGAGGTGTGTACAGAACGCAACCGAAAACTGTTCCTCCTGTTTTCCCCACAACGACCCGGTGAGGCGGGTTAGGCCGAGAGACAGGGACTGGCCCAAGGTTACCTTTTCGAGCCTGAGGCGGGACTAGAACTCACCGTCTCCCGGTGATTGGCCCAAAGTCACCCAGCTGGCTTTCATGCCTAAGGCGGGACTAGAACTCACCATCTCCTGGTGATTGGCCCAAAGTCCCCCAGCTGGCTTTCATGCCTAAGGCGGGACTAGAACTCACCGTCTCCTGGTGATTGGCCCAAAGTCCCCCAGCTGGCTTTCATGCCTAGGGCGGGACTAGAACTCACTGTCTCCTGGTGATTGGCCCAAAGTCACCCAGTCAGCTTTCATGCCTAAGGCGGAACTAGAACTCACCGTCTCCTGGTGATTGGCCCAAAGTCCCCCAGCTGGCTTTCATGCCTAAGGCGGAACTAGAACTCACCATCTCAGGATTTTCAGTCTTAATCACCAGACCAAACTGGCTCTGTTTCTGTATAAAAGCTAATCCTCAAGTTACAACCGCAATGGAGCCTGCCCATTAAGGTCGTTAAATCAAAACAGTCCATCACATGATCGACCTGATTTCACAGTTGTCGTTAAACAAATCCCTTGTTGTAAAACGAATACCATGGTTGTTAAGCAAACACTGCCGTCGTTAAAGGGGCCTGTCGTCCAGTAGGGCATGGTTTTGCTCAGGGGTCTTCAAACTTGGCCACTTTAAGACTTGTGGACTTCAACTCCCAGAATTCCTCAGCCAGCCCTCAGTCTTAAAGCATCCTGGCTGAGGAATTCTGGGAGTTGAAGTCCACAAGTCTTAAAGTGGCCAAGTTTGAAGACCCCTGGTTTTGCTGAAAATCTCAAGTGGCCGTTTTCGGCAGAAGCGTCATAAAATGCGGCCAGGTGACCCCAGGACAACTGCAAACAGCGTTAAATGTGGCCCTATTTCTAAGCGTCCAAAGACCAGTCATAGGACCGAGGAGTGGGACTGACTGGATCTGGGTTGTAAGTTCCCTTTTTCAGGTAGATCATAACTTTGAACCATCACTAAATGACCGGTCGTAAGTCAAGGACTATCCTGTAAGATCTGGTTCTGCATTTGCAGATGGCAATTCGGCAAAACGTCAAAGATTTGCTGATAGTCCAGTATATATATATTGGAACAGAACAGAACAGAACAGAACAGAATAGGATAGGAAATGGAATAGAATAGAATAGAATAGAATAGAAACAGAATAGAATAGAATATAGAATAGAATAGAATATAGAATAGAACAGAATAGAATAGAAAATAGAATAGAATAGGAAATGGAATAGAATAGAATAGGAAATAGAATAGAATAGAATAAGAAATAGAATAGGAAATAGAATAGAATATAGAATAGAAAAAAGAATAGAATAGAATAGAATAGAATAGGAAATGGAATAGAATATAGAATAGAATAGAATAGAATAGGAAATAGAATAGAATAGAATAGAATAGAATATAGAATAGAATAGAATAGAATAGGAAATGGAATAGAATAGAATAGGAAATGGAATAGAATAGAATAGGAAATAGAATAGAATAGAATAGAATAGAATAGAATAGAATAGAATAGAATAGAATAGAATAATGAATGGACTGGACTGGACTGGACTAGACTAGACTAGAACAAAAGTAGAGCTGGAAGGGACCTTGGAGGTCTTCTAGTCCAGCCCCCCGCTCAAGCAGGAGAACCTATACCGTCTCAGACAAGCGCCTCTCCAGTCTCTTCTTAAAAAACCTCCAGTGATGGAGCGCCCACGATTTCTGGTGGCCAGCTGTTCCACTGAACCAAACTCATTGCACAAAAAAGTTAGCGACAAAAGTTTTGCGCTCAGTTACGGGCCGTAAGGTAAGGACTGCCTGAATCCCCTTCCTGCATCCCTCTGCTTTCTCCCCCGTCCCCTTCCCCAGGTGTCGCTCTCTGTTCCCCAAGCGTGGCTGGCCCACACACACACAAACACACACAACCGGCCAGGAACGGACCTTTTTTTCCTCTTTGCTCGCCAGGACGCTGGCCTGGCTCTCGGCCTCCTTCTTCTGCTGGATGTCCTCGTAGATGCTGTCGTATTCGTAGACGGTGGAGTCCTCGGCCAGAGCCCTCTGGATCTCCAGCTTGGTCTTCGAGGCACAGCAGGCGGGGGGGGGGGGGGGGGGGGGAAAAAAG